GTTTGCCACAGGTAAGTATCATCATCACACATGTCTCAGACCACCAATGATTCTCTGCCTTGTGTCATCAGGGGAAATTAAAAAATATAAGTGTAAAAACTATTTATGCATTGTTTCCTTACAGCGATTCTCAACCTTGATGTTACAATACTTTAATATAATTCTTCATGTTGTGATGACTCCCTCAACCATAAAATTGTTTTTTTTTGTTACTTCATAACTATAGTTTTGCTACTGTTGTGAATCATAATGTAAATGTCTGTGTTTTCCATTGAACTTAGGCAATTCCTGGAAATCATTTGATCCCAAAGGGGTTGTGACCCAGAGGTTGAGAACCTTTGTCATACAGGGAAGAACAAGTGTAAACAGAGATATAAAATAAACAGCATCATGTATTCTTTAATATCCATGGATGGTATAGAAAAGGTAGAGTTGGGTAAGAGGCAAATTATTAGGAAGCCTTTCTTTTCCAGAGAGATGCACCTGTTTGCTTCTTTCAGCTATTTGAACAAATTCCAAATTAAAGCCACCTGAACACAGAAGCCAAGTTCTGTGAGATCTTGGCCAAGTGGTATCTGGGAACAAAAGACCTGACTATTATCAACTCCACTATATGTGTAATGAATTAAAGCAGCAAACCACCCTCTTTGACTGATGGGCAGTGTGTGACACAGCATTAGGTCAGACTGCATTTCTCAGTTTTGATGCCTGTGCTCTATAGCCCCATAGAGACTGCCACTGTAAAATATTTCAGATTTCTATGTATGTTAATCATCATACTCATCCTACCATTATCCTGTGGCATAAAGATGGAATCCAGTGTATGAGGGAGAAAGACTAAACAATGTAAAGAATTTGCCATATTGCACCGGAAGCCTGAGTGTGCACTTCGTTGGTGCATATCAATCAACACATTGGTTGTGCTCTTCAGTTACCAAATTTTACCTAATCTACTCTTTCAGTAATATTGAAGTAGACACTGTATTGTTCATGGTTATCTTCTCTGTGGCAACTCATTTTTTTCTTAGTAGATAAAAATACAACATATTATAAAACTGTGGGTTTTAGTCACAAAGAGAGAAATAATAGCACTAGTTACATGTTCCCTTTCAAACACACTCAAACTCATAAAATATATTCTAGGTGACCCTGGGTGCCAAATCCTCATTAGTCAACAAAACATATTTAACAGCCAAACTGACTTCCCTCTAAATGCACAGTTAGATTCCTACTAGATTAGCTAAGGAAGAAAATAGGCATTTTCCTAAATGTCAGGCTACTCATTACTGATAATTTGTTGAGAAAGGGATAACTGATCAAGTCTTGCTCTTTTAATCCCCAGAGGTTTAACTGAGAACAAACGAATATAGTTGTCAGTAACAAGGGAGTGGGGAAGGGGGAGAACAACAGAGAATCAATTAAACATTCATAGATACAAAAGATGTAGAAATTATGAAGATGAGCAATCCTAAAGAATTTTATGCAGCTCAAATGCATTCTTCAAATTAGGCAAATGAATCTAATAAAATCAGTTTCCATTTAAAATGTGTGTAATCCACCACCCATCTCTCCAGGTACAGAACTCTCCAGCCACCTACCTACTAGGTTCTCAGTTAATCATGGAGGGTAAATATTTAACTCTCTATGGCATGGAAAACAAAGACCCTTAAATCAGAAGAAAAGGTATCTACACTTGATATGACAAGAAGCTAAAGTGAATTACTCCTCTGTTCAAAGATAAAGAAATAAGTCAAGCTATGTTCTCTTAATTAAGCAATGGAAATCTGTTCATGAAGACTAAAGGACTACATCACCATTAAATTCGAAGTTTCAGAAAAGGAAACCAGCTAATGTGTTAAAATATATACTTCATAATTCCTTATATGCAAGTGAAGAGGAAAAAAGCAAGAACTTAAAAGGAAGAAAGAAGGGAAGGAATGGGGGAAAATAGAACTAATAAAAATAATTTAATTTGCACTGAAACAAGGAAAATAAACATATTTGTAGGTATCATTACAAGAGATAATTTAAATTAGATTTTAATGGCTCCCATGTTTATAATTGCTGTGACTTTAGAATCCAAACTGAAGCTAACATTTTTCATGTTTTAAAATATGTATGTGGTCATTACCGAACATTTCCAACAGTATAACCTACTTCTGTAATAAAGCACAAAGTGGTGAATTATCCTGCCTGCTTTTGTTTGTATTATCAATTCCTTAGCTATAAATGTCCCCTGTTATAAAGAGTATAGAGGTAAATATTATTCTACTTTGGCTAATTATCTCCAAACCCCAATTAGGAGAGTTCAATTCAAATGCCCAGTGTTACATGATATATTTGTAGTACTGTCAACATAAGCATGAAATTATGTATGTACAGATATGATTTATAACAGTGCTCAAAATTTTCATTACACTGGCCTATAAAATATTAGCTTCCAATGACTGGAATGCAGGTTTCATCATTTTCTTCCTACAGCCACAGATCAATTATGTGAGTGAGGCATCACACTAAAGAAAATAAAATTCAGTTAAGTAAAAATGGCATGGTTAATGCCCATTGGGAGCTTGTATTTAAAATGGAAATACAAGTTTACCCCTGAGAAAAGACAAGAGGAAATGAGCTTAAATTTACAAAAAGACAGGACAAATGTTTTTCTTCCTGCTTATAGCTGCAACCCAGCTTACATAGGAGTTGCTAACAGTCAGATGAAATGGAGAAGAGAGTGAAAAAATAAAACAAATTCAACCTGACCATGATTTTAATCTAATGTAGAAAAAAATTAAAAGGATCTACCTCTGTCTTCCACTTCTACTGTCATTTAGAACACATTTTATAGCTGAACCCCAATCAGGAGACATCCAAGAGATCCATTACAAAGCACTTTAACCCATAGTGAGTGAATTAATTGCTGATGACAGTTGGAAGGATCTGCTGGAAGTGATGGCATTTGTTCCCTAGATATTGCAAAATTTAGACTTTTTTTTTGTTTTGGAAAAACACTCCAACGGTTTTGCAATCAACTCATTATTGGCTTTGGGATCCCACTTTCTTCTTTCATCTCTCCAAATGAAATCACCAAACCAAATCCAATTGTTTCCAACATATTTTTCATGAAATACATGACACCAGACAGAATAATTAATCCAGAAAAAAAAAAGTGTTTTGAAACCAATGTGGTGACACAAGCCCATCACAGGACACATTGAATCTCAGCACCAATTTTAACACCAGCTGTGAGAACTCCGGTAAGTTTTCTGATTTTTTTTTCTGTTTTCCTAATCTGTGAAATGGGGTATTTTATTTGAGGATTGGGGAAGCTATGCAAACTATAAAGGTTTGCAGTACTGGAGAATAGTAAGACAGGAAATTCAGTACAGAATGTCAGAGCAAAGCTCTGGGATACAGGGACAGAGGAAAGGACAAGAGGAGACAGTTACAATGTGTGATCAGAAGGGAGAAGGAGTCAGTGAACTGAAAGCAGGAAAGCTAAAGGAAAATCATGACTGTGCTCGAGACAGGTCAGTGAGTAAAGCGTCTACCATGCAAGCAGAGAACCTGAGTTCCATCCCAGAACCTATGTGAAAAAAGCTTAGTATGGAAGAATCAGAGACATTTGTATCTCTAGGCTCCCTAGCTAGCTTGTCTAGCTGACTTAGCATGTTCCAGAAAAGTATGAAGCCCTATTTGTGAAGAAAGGAAAAGTTGTCTGTTTCTGGAGCAACAGTACTCAAGGTTTTCCCTTGCACACACACACACATACACACACACACACACACACACACACACACACACACACACACACACACATCAAAAAAAGAAAGGGATAAAGGAAGATGAAAATGCATAACTAAACAAAGCAGAGAATTTGAAAAGAGTAAAAAGCAAAATTATATTTGGTTGGAAGTGGACCCCAAATATCATAAAGAAAACATTCTTTCTATTTCATGTGAAGGACTTCTCTCCCCAATAGGAAAGCAAAATATAATGTATATTTTCTTTTATTTCCGTCTATGCTCTATACTGAATAGTCACCTAAATCATCTATGATGACAATTGAGTAAATACAGTCACTGTTCATTACCACAAATATGCATAAAACAATGTAGTTGGAAATTTCTTTGGGCTGTCAACCAGCTCCCAAATAAAGACACGGAGACTTATTTTTAATTGTGAATGCTTGGCCTTAGCTTAGGCTTGCTCCACTAGCTCTTTTACCTTAATTGAACATGTTTCTATTCATCTATGTTTTGCCTCCAGGCTTTTTACCTTTCTTTCATTCTGTATGTCCTGCTTTCGTGCTTCCTCCACGTCTGTCAATCTGGCCCCTGGCATCTTCCTGGTAACTCTATTAAGATCAATCCACGTGAGTCTATTACATGGGTAACAGAATTTATTAAGATATGAACTGAGGAAATACACTCAAGATTACAGAACAGAGTAGACAGCAGAAGTCGTCCTCTGATCTGACCAGGAACAAATCCACATCAAAGCCAGGAGCCAGGAGAAGGGGTTGTGTCCTTCCTCCAGCTCCTTATCAAAGGTCAACCACAGCAAGCACCGCCTCCTTTGGGCATATAGCCCAGGGTCATGTGTGGAGCAAATACCACTACATTTCTCTCTCTCTCTCTCTCTCTCTCTCTCTTTTTTTTTTTTTTTTTTTTGGCTAAATAAGAAGGTTCTAATCTTAATGCAAACTATATACAATAAGAATAATTATCAAGTATTGTCCAGGAAAACAAAGGGTAGTAACATAAACAAATGGAACTACAACCAATAAGAATAACATCAAAAATCCAGAGAAGTCTGGAGCATAGGTAAATGGCACATTACAGAGATCATCCCAAAAGGTGTCCTATCCTGAAGAACCTGAATCTAGCACTCAATATGTTTTAGTTAAGATACAAGAAGATGGACATATTAATGGTGAACAAGCTACAGGGAAGAGCTGTGTATGTGTAAATGATAGATGAGAAAGGTGGTACTTAAAAAGTTATATCGCTTCTTGGCCTTTTGGCTAAGACCAGTGTAGTTAGTATCTGTTCTTATCCATTTAATATCTGATACATCCTCTATCTGAGGACAATATATTAAATGGATTTTTAGAAGTCTGAATTGGAACAGAAGCTTGCTCCATCCACTCCACAAGTTGACCTGGTATTGCAGTATCTCCAGAAATGGTACAACCCTTCTGGGAATTTGAAAAAAAAAGTTATACAGAGACCTGGAGCACAATGGAAGAGAGACCCATCTGCTATCCAAGCTTTGTAACTTGCCAATAGCTAAGTTTATTCTCCAGTATCTCTGTGTTGGCCAGGCTGGAGGAGGTATGATAGAGCCAGAAGAGCCCTTCCCTCTCCCAAGAAGAATCAAAAATGTGATGGTAAGTTTCTTCACCGGTAGGGAGTGAGAAAAGAGGATCTTCTCAGTTCAAAGAAGAAAGAGGCAGGAAGAATGCTTGTGTGTTGAACACCCAGGATTCACAGTGGACAGGGTAATGTTTGCTTTGTCACCATTGCCCTGCTGCCCCCGCCCCCACTGACTTTTGCAAGTTAGATCGCTTTCCCCCTTAATCCTAAGGTGTGTTGCCACCACTGCCCAGTTTAACCCTCCTTCACTAAACTGGGCAGTGGTGCAACACACCTTTAATCCCAGCACTCAGGCGGCAGAGGCAGGTGGATCTCTGTGAGTTCGAGGCCAACCTGGTCTACAGAGTAAGATCCAGGACAGGCTCCAAAACAACACAGAGAAACACCCCCCCCCCAAAAAAAAAAAGAAAGAAAATGAAAAAAAGAAAGAGGGTTAAAGCTAATTTAAATTTTATACATTAAAAATTTGTATTCTAGACATAAAACAACTATCAAATATCTCAAGGTAAAAATGAAAAAGAAAAATAGGAAATCTCTATTTTTAAGGTCTACAAAAGAAGGAAAAGTGGAAAAGCTATTCATCAGTTAACTAATCATTAAGATAAAATTAAATAATACCCTCATTTATTTAACTTTTGAATGATCTCTTATCTCTTACTAATATCCATTAATGAATTAGCAGTCTTCTTAAATGTATTATTTTGAATGTGACTTCATTGTCTTTAGTATCTTCTCCTAATTTCCTATTTGCATGAAAAATTTTATCCATGTGGTTGAAGAATGTAGTTCAGGTGGCAGACTGCTTTTCTTTTGCAGGAAACGTTTGCTCCACTCCAAACTACCTAAACACGAACATCAAGGTCATTCTCAGCTACATAGGGAGTTAGGAGTCAGCCTGGGCTACATGAGACCCTGTCTCAAAAAAAAAAACAAATACTTTCAAATAAGCAAATAATGGTAACTTAGGTCTAGGTGTGAGCAAAAGACTAAATTTTTATTTGCTGCTATCTATTTTGAGGTGTGAGAGCCATAGGAAGAAGACTGAAAATAGCATAATGGTTTTATGTCTTTCTTGCTATAAATTTAGTCATTTTAGAAGCACATAAATTATTTGTTTTGTTAAGAGTTGAGTTGATATTTCAAAACAAATTCTTTGGTCCCAACTTTTTTGCATAAATAAAAAAAATAAACAAACATGTTCTTAACTTGAGCCAAGTTTGCAAGTGTGTTATATCCATGCCTATCTTGTTCACCAGGAAGAAAATTATCCTTTAAATCTGATGCCTATATAATCATACACTAATTAGTAATTTTCATGCCTGGTTTGCAGTATGTTGCGGCTATAGTCAAACAAAAGGAGGGCACATGTTATGTATTTCCAAGAGCCTTTAGGGAACGTATAAGAAAATATTAAAGATTTCAAAACAAAAGAAACCTTATTTTAATAAGCCAATTGTTTTAAATGAGTGTCTTTGAGGCATTGCATTTTAACCTGTCCTAGGTAGCAGAGCTTTGCTGAGACCTAGAATCTGCCCTAATGAGAGAATAACTATTTTTCTCCATAACTTTTTCACCATGGAAACTTCCAAACAAAGAGGACCTGAATCAGGGCAAAAAATAAACTTTAAGTGTGGGTATAAAAACACTTTTGTATTATACATCCTGTTTTGTTTGTTGCTAACTTTCCTTCATGGTTTCTTCAGAGAAAGATCAATGATAGAAACTGGGCAATTGACGCTCTGTGTCACAGTGGTACACGGATATTCTGTGTTGTTTGACAAGTGTCTCCTGTCTCCCTGTGATATGTGCAGGGTCTAGCCTAGACCTTGATAGCCAGTAAGAGCCCAACACATGGTTGTTTCTAAATAGATGCCACCACAAAGGGTTATATATTATAACCCAGGAATCTTGGAACTTAAAGGTAATGGACCAACCAGTAAACGTTTTAGGGCTGACAGACCATATGTTCTGTGTTGTAGCTACTCAACTCTGCCCTTAGAGTGTGAAAGCAGCTTTAGACAATATGTAAATAAATGAATGTGGCTGCTTTCCAATAAAACTTTATTTACATAAGCAGGCTGCTTGCCAAATTTGGCCCATGGGTGATGGTTTGATGACCTCTTCTTAAAGTACACATGTGGGGGTCAAACAGCCACACTCAGTGCTAAAGCAGAGTTCATAGGTGGGTTAGGGTTGCACTCAGCGAATCTCAAGAGCCCGGCAGGGCCGAAATCAAAAGGGTTGAGGCAATAAATCTATCTAGATCCCTGAAAATTATGTTCCATCAGAAATTCCTCTGATATTTGATGTACTAGCTCTTATTCCTAACTGCTACACTCTCCTGACAAAGTTCAGAGGCTATCAGTAGAAATCCCTAGGCAGGGAGTCATCCCAAAAACATTCCTTGGGTAATCTGGATATCTGGCATTCCAGTAGATAAAGTTAAAAACTACAAGAAATTGGAGAATGGGACCAATACACTCAAAATATCAGACATGATACCTATAATACCTTGCAGTCCTCTAGGAAAAGAGAAAAAGAAAAGAGAATACAGTGATGGAAAATGAATTACACTTTGTAACCAATTACTAGGTTGTGAGCCATGGTGACTTTTTTTGTTTTTATTTTTGTTTTGTTTTGGTTTTAGGTTTATTTATTCTTTTATGTGTATGCATATTTTGCCTACACACAACACGGATGTCCTGTACCCATGGAGGTCAGAAGTTCAGATGCTCTGGATCTGAAGTAACAGTTGTGAGCCCTTATGTTGGTGCTTGGAGCTGAACCAAACTAGGTCCTCTGCAAAAGTAACAGGTGCTCTTAACCTCTCACTCTTCTCCAAAGCCCCCATGGTAACTGCTAATATGTAGTTCCTCATTTCTATTTCAGAAGACTAAGATTCAATGATTTTTAGTAACAAGTCACCCAGATAAATAGATGTAAGCTTCATGTGCAGGTTCTCAATATCCTGTCAGCCACACCTTACCACTATTCTCTAGACAAAGATCATATCTTCCCAGGAGCCTCCCATGGTAGATGACTGTTTAGGCTGAAACCAGATAATGTCTACAAAGTTTGCTACACCCAAAGTGTTGATGCTTAGGGTTGTAGCAAAATGATGAAAAATTAGTTGTAAGTTGTACAAAACTTTTAGAGATAGGATAGAAGAAACTGAAACCTTAGAACCCTAAAGCAGAAAAGTGTTTCACTTGCTTGAGGACAACTAAGCAGACCCCATGCAGGATACAGAGATGCTGTGTGGTCTGGAGCCCAGTGACCTGCAATGTGACACTCACCTTGTCAGATCTCATGTGGCCTTGACCACTAAGGTAGAAAGAGTAGATTAAGTTTTAAGGTCACAGGTAGTTCATTGGAGGGTTTTGGGATGGAGAGTAATATAATATCAATAATTTATTTGAATTTTCATTCAGATGAACTGGATAAGACATTTTCATAGAAGAGTGAGGGAGCATTGATGGTTAGTTCTCAGCATCTCAACATTATTTTGGGTAAGTCCATCAGGATGTTTATGGATAAGGTAAATATTAAATCAGTAGACTAAATGAAGCTTGTGTTATTCATTGGAATGGGTGGGGCATCTGCAATATTTGCAAATTTTAAGGAAAATAAAAGACAGAAAAGGGCAAATTCCCTCTATCTACCTGTTTCTAAGATTGTGACATTGACTTTTTCCTGCCTTTGGACAGACATGCCTTGGAAAGCAAGCCATAATTTCTCTTGGTTCTTACAGCTTTTGACTCAAACTGGAACTCTATCATGTGTTCTCCTATGTCTCTAACTTGCCAACCACAGCTATTAACATATTGGCCTCCATAGCTGTGCATGCCAATTTCTAACAATAAATATATATTTAAACATAATCTTAGGAAACATAAATATAGAAGAAAGAACATATAGACACAGGTATCTCATTGCCTTTATTGCTTTGGAAAACGCCCACTAATACAGCATATAAATGACAGTTATTGAAGTTCTTAAGTACATAATTATTTGGATTGAAGATCTAATAACAATCATGTGTTTTAAAACTAGAGGTGAGAGTGAGAAAAATTATTAAGAATATCACGATTTACTTTGGTGGCATTACTTAAAATAAAACTTAATGTTGTATAAAATGAGGAAGTTCAAGTCCAAGATCTCTGCTGGGGGCCAAGTAGATAGTACAAGCCAGAAGTTTGCTGTTAAATTAAGATTTCATGAAAAGAACAAAGATGGGTAGGTAGATTGATGATAGATATATAGATAGATGACAAATAGAAGATACATAGATGATATATAGACAATAGATATATGGTGATAGATGATAGATATAGATAATAGACAAAAGACATACAATAGATATAGAAAGAGATAGGTGGTAGGTAGTTAGATACATATATATGTAAAATGTTAGAAGATAGGCAGGTAATAGAGCAAATTAATTAGATAGAAATATTGGTTAGATAGATAGATAACAGATAGTGTTTGGAAATCAGTAACATAACAACCTTTGATTATTCAGTAGAGAATATTTGTAAAAGGGAGGGCTCAGGGATGAGACCTCAGCATAGAAACTCAAACATGGAAAGTGTCAAAGATGGAGCTACCATCCTAAAGATGCTCATTATTCTTATTTAATCCATATTTTCCAATATGCATCTGGAAGAAAAATATATAAAATTTGTTGAGGACCACATGTCAAACATTAACAGAAAACATGGAAACCATTCAATATATATCACAAAGGAAAAAGATCTATTTTGAAAGAAATATTCATTATAGCATTCATATTTGGATGTGAATTTGAAGACACCAATACTTA